AGTCTGTTGATTGCCAGTGGCCTTCTGGAGGTGCTTTTTGCTTTGAATAAACAATTCTCTTACATTCTTTCCTTAGCATTTAGATGCTTTTCCTTCCTTCCTTTTTTTTGTTTATTTATGTATTTATTATTAAAATTTTAAAATCATGTTTATTCTATTACAGTTGTCTGAATTTTTCCCCCTTTACACCTCTGCACCCATCTGCCCCCACCCTCCGCTCCCACAGTCAATTCCCACACTGTTGTCCATGTCCATGGGTCACTCATACATGTTCTTTGTCTAGTCCCTTCCCCCTCTTCCCACCATTGTCCTCCTTCCCCATCCCCACTGACCACATTCAGTTTGCTCCATATTTCCATGCCTGTGGTTTATTTTGTTCGTTAGTTTATTTTGATGAATAGACTCCACTTGTAGGTGAGATCATATGCTATTTGTCTCTTACAAACTGGCTTATTTCACTTAACATACCATTCTCCAGTTCCACCCCGTTGTTGCAAAAGGTAGGAGCTCCATATCTTTTCCTTTTCTTTCTTTCTTTCTTTCTTTCTTTCTTTCTTTCTTTCTTTCTTTCTTTCTTTCTTTCTTTCTTTCTTTCTTTCTTTCTTTCTTTCTTTCTTTCTCTCTCTCTCTTTCTTTCTTTCTTTCTTTCTTTCTTTCTCTTTCTTTCTTTCTTTCTTCTTTCTTTTTTAAGTTTAGATTGATCTTACTTTTTTAATTGTCAAAGTCAATTATAAAATATTAAAAAAATTTAAACCATTATAAACTTTAAGCAATTAAAACAGCATGACACCAGCATAGAAATAATCAAGTAGACCAATGAAATATAATGAGCATTCTAGAGACAAATGTATATATCTGTCTAACAATGTAATAGGTGATTAAATTTATATTTCAAATGAATGGGTAAAATAAGACTTATTCAACAAATAAGGTGCATGGACCGCTATTACTTAAAATATATATAGAGCCCTATTTCACACATTATACAAGAAATAATCAAGTGAGTTAAAAATCAGTATGTATAATGGAAGGAGTTTTAGGGGAAAATACACACTAATATGTCTCATGCCTAGAAGTAAAATATTCAAACTCAGAAATAACAAAGTAAAATGTTGACAATATGACTATATTAAACATTTAAGACTATATAGTAATATACATATAAAAAAGTTAAAAGACAAGTAATAGAATGGGAAAGTGTTTGTCACACATCTAAAAAAGGGTTAATAGTTGTTTTGTTTTTTCTTTAGGGAAAAATATTCTACAAAACTTTAATTGATAAATGGATAAAGAATACCAAAAAGTCATTTAAAGCTATTTTAAAAATAATAGAAATTGGCCAGAAACATACAAAAACAAGTTTAACTTCAACAAATGGTAAAGGAACAATTAAAATAACACATCATTGTCATAATCATATTAAAAATATTGGAACAAATGGTAAAGGAACAATTAAAAATAACACATCATTGTCATAATCAGATTAACACATATTAAAAAAATATTGGCAACTGTGAAAGGAACTGGGTATTCATAGACTCTTTTTCTTCATCTTAAAGCAGTCCCTTTAGCATATTTTGCAGTACTGGTTTGCTGGAGGTGTATTCTTTTAGTCTTCTTTTGTCTGGGAAACTCCTTATTTCACCTTACATTTTAATTGAGAGCCTTTCTGGGTAGAGCAGTCTTGGTTGGAGGCCTTTGCTTTTCATGTCTTAGAATATATCTTGCCAGTCCCTTCTGGCTTGCAGTGTTTCTGTTGAGAAGTCAGCTGCTAACCGTATTAGGGATCCCTTATATGTTACTACCTCTTCTCCCTTGCTGCCTTTAGAATTCTCTGTTTGTCTTTGATATTTACCATTTTAATTATGTTGTGTCTTGGAGTGAGCCTCATTGGGTTCCTCTTGAATGGGACTCTCTTTACTTCCGGGACTTGTGTGACTGTTTTCTCTTTCAATTAGGGAAGTTTTCCATCATTACTTTTTCAAACAGGTTCTCTCTCTCTTCCTCCTCCTCTTGTCCTTCTGGTATCCCTATTATATGGATATTATTACATTTCAAGTTGTCCTGAATTTCCCTGAACACCTGATCATTCTTTCTGACTCGTTTTTTCATTTTCTTGCTCTTTCTGGGAGCTTCTTTCTACCCTATCCTTAAGCTCACTACTTTGTTCCTCTGCTTCATGTAGCCTGCTTCTGATTCCTTCTACTGTGTTCTTCCATTCAGAAATTGTATTTGTCATTTCCTTTTGTCTCTTATAGATAGTTTCTATGTCCTTTTTCATGCTGACATAGTTTGTAGTAAGTTTCTCGTAGTTTTCCTGTAGTTTTTTCTAATACTCTCTGAGATTGATGAGCTCATTGAACTTCTTAAAACCGTTCTTTTGATCTCAATATATGACAGATTACTTGCACCTATTTCATTTTGTTCTCTTTTTGAGGATTCCCCATTTCCCTTTTATTGGGGGGAGTTTCTTTGACTCCCCTGTATTTCTGAGACTCTTTTTCTTTGATTCTTCTTTTTAATTGAAGTCCCTTGACTTCCTGACTTTGTGGTATGAACTTCTTTGTTAGGAGACTGCTGTTTTCTCTTTCTGGATCTGCTTCTGATGACGTCAGCTGTTGACCCTGTCTGACCTTATGTAGTATGTTCGAGACTTGCAGGAATCTACTGCCAGTAGCTGTCTGCTTCAGTTGTTAAACTAGTCATTCTTCACTCATTACTGAGGTTTAGACACCACAGGGTGGGAAAATGTCCCACCTGGGGGGAGAAGGGGATATTTGGCTCTCTCTCCCTGCCTCCGCTCAGTGGAGTGGTCTGCTTGAGCCAGCTGGCTGCAGCCCAATGTGGGAGGTGTCAGTCCCGGGACCCTGCCAGTGATTCCCTCAGTTCCCACCTCGAAATATTCCACCTCTGGTCTCTCCTCAAGTGTCACTAGATCAAGCAGCCCCCATGTTTGCTGGAGACCAAGGTAGGCGCCGACAGATAAAAACACATGCGTTGGACCTTTAAATGACTGTGTCTTCAGCTGCCTGATTCAGGCGGAGAGCAACCCTGCCGCTTTTCATAGTGGGGTGTTCCTTTTGTGCCTTTTCTACTGTGGTTCTGTGGGCTGGAGATACCTGCTTATGCCTTAGACCCTGCTCATCTCAGTGGGATCCATTTGGCCGATTCGATATCCTTCAGGTGCTGCTGTCCATGGGGGCCCCGCCCTTTTTCTAAAGTCTCTGCCACATTCCGTACCAGTTAGGTTGGGATAAAGCTGATCTTTCTACCTGGCTGAAGTTATAAGGCTCATCTGTCACTTTTGTTCAGTTTTTTCTTCCAGAAAATTTCCACATGATTTAGTCGTAATTCCAGATCATACCCGGGAGGAAGTCACTGTGACTTCCACTCAATCCTGCGCAGTCTCATTATGTCTGTTACAGGTAACTATATTATACTTCTTTCATTCATTCCTTCATTCATTCTTACATTCATTTAAATATTTATTTCTGCTGCAGAAGCCATTAAAGTTGTTCCCATTTCCCACAATTGCACACCCCTGCTCATCCGCCAACCCTTTTCTGTGTCTGTCACCGCAGTGTTGTCTGTGTCCACGGGTCAGGCACATATGTTCTCTGGCTACACCCTTCCCCTTCGCTGACTCATTTCTCTCTTCTCCATTCCCTCTGACAAATTTCACTCTGATCATGTGTCATGCATTTGTTCCTACTTTGTTCATCTGTTTATATTGCTTATTTCACTTCCCAAATACGTGAGATTGTATGTTACTTGTCTTTTCCTTGCTGGGTTATTTTGCTTAACATAATATTTCCCAGGCTCATCTATGCTGTTGTCAAAATTAAACATTTCTTTATTTTTTATTGTTGAGTATTATTCCATTGTGTAAATGTACCACAGCCTTTGTATCCATTCACCTACTTCTAGGCAATTGGGCTGTTTCCAAGATCTTGGCTTTTGCAGATAACAGTACAATACTCATAGGGGTGCATATATCTTCTCTGATAGAGTTTTTTTTTTTTTTTTTTTTTTTTTTTTTAGTTTTTTACTATATCTCCAGGAATGGGCTTGCTGGGACCAATATCAAGTACTGTTTTTATATTTTTGAGGAAACTCCACACTGCTTCCCATAATGGCTGTACTACTCAGCTGGCCAGAAAGGATTTTCATGAAATATTCTGAATGATGAATGTCAGGGACCTGCAACCATGCCTATGGTACCCAGCAAAGCTCTCATTCAAAATGGAAGAAATTGAATGAGAAATGAAGAGCTTCCCAAATGTCAGCAACAGCCTAAGCCTCTCAGTTCAGCACAATGAGGACAGTTCAATTCAAGAATCAGGAAGGTGAGCTTTGAATAAAAGGAAACAGAACACAAGCAAAATTCCCAGCATTGCCATCTCTATTGCCTGTCTCTGAGGTTCAGGTTGAAAAATAAATCAATATAGAAGTACGGAGTGTTTGCGTGGTTCTATTCTGAAGGAGACACTATTCCTACAGACTTGGGTTTTGAGAAAAGTATGACAATTGTTGGAAGGGCTCATGAGATGTATATCTTGATATGAACCAAAGGGAAGAAGAGAACAGAGCACACACAAGTGTGTTCAAAGAACACTTAGGTTGTCCCTGTTAAAAGTTCTGACCTTGAATTCTTTTAATAAGTCATTTACATTTATAAATATTTAAAACTAAGTGGTACATATATAGATGGTATGATATTGAATGTTTTTAAAAAATTTACAGTCTAGTAGCTTTTTCCGTATGCGAAGTTCTCACCACACAGCAATGAATGAGAACACAGCCCTTTCTGAGCTGAAGCTGGTTTACCCTTTATCCTGCATCTCACCTCTAGTCCTCCTGTCTTCTGTCCTCTGCAAAAATAACAGTTATGTGGCCATGAGACTTTTGAAGACAAGTTTTCATACCCAGCTCTTATTAAAACAGATATATGTTTGTATTTTAAGTTATGCACAATGTTACAAAGTCACATATGGACAGACTTTCTCTGAAATCAGTTTATTGGAACAAGAAGAAGTCCAGGAACACCACACTGGCTCTGAGTGGTGACTGGCAGGGAGGAAAGAGAGTGAGCTCATTAACAGAGACAGACGATGCTGGCCAGGAACAAGGAGAGAATGCTTGCCGCAGTTGATCAGATTCCACAGAGAAAACATGCCTGATTCTCAGGACGTAGTCTAAGGGAGAGGAAAAAAGGGCTGTAGGATAGTTGAGTGGACAGGGTGAAACCTTGACTGGGGAGACTGCAGGACGTGGGGTGTAACGGGTTAGAAATAACGAAAGTGAATCCCATGGACAAGTTCCGTGTGCCCTGGGTCCTCTCCATCTCTCTGATGTGGGAAGGAGCCTTTGGAATTTCTCCCAGTTGTAGGTGTGGTGGGACCTCCCTACTCATGGATTCATGATCTCAAGAGAGATGTTCATGGGGATGGGCTTTCTAAAGGAGATTTGCAGCAACTCTGATTGAGTTACCTTTGTCTCCTCTACTTCCTAAAGTTTTTGAGGCTTGTAAGCATTGTATTCATCTTGGAAGCCAAAAAAAACTCCCCCAAAACAAAAACCTATTTGCCAGGACATGTGTCATCTCAGAATCTCTGTCATATTAGGAAGTTTTAAAGACCACAGTTTTATAAAATCACTTGCTGAAGCATCACATCTCAGATATTGTGACTAGAAAATCTCCCAGTGTTTGCCATGATCATGTCAAAGGAGCCTGTTTGTTCGCAGGACTGGGGTTCACTTTCACCCCAGTTTCCCAGGAGGACTGATCTATATGGACAATCCATGTGACAAGACCGAGTGAAAGACTCATGCTTTCCGTCTTCAGTACCAAGTCCAGGCAGTTCCTGCTTCTCCTCCATGACCAATTTTCTGTGTGATTCTTCTATATTAATGCTTTGTCAACACAACTCTGTCAATATTAACCCTACAGCCCCTAGTCATTTAATGGGGCAAAGAAGATACAGAATATGTGATATCACAGGGACAAGCCCTCTAGTGAGACAATTTCCTTTTTTTTGACAAAACGTAGTTCAACAAAACACACAGCAGACATGAAATCAAAGATTTTGAAATTCTTGAGCTTATTCACAGATCATTGGTACTTACTGCCTGTGAGAATTAAGGACTCTGCTTTCATTAATGTCCGGAACACTTGTCTGTGGACCAAAGAAAAGAAACAGGAATTCAAAGAGCAGACAGGCAGTACCTTTTCTCAATGTTTCCAAGTATTTGAAATTTATTTTATTAAAATGACTGATTTTATAATAGACGATTGATAGAAGAGGAAATTTAAGATACATCAATATGTTTCCTAAGAGAATAGTTCCATACCAGTTAAATGAGATAGGAATAAATGTAGTCTCATTACCTAAATTGGTAAAATCTACAATGTTTGCTTCTGGAATATTCTTTTCCAGAGTCAGCTCCTTGAACTTCTCAAAATCTGGCTCATTCACATGGTTTGATTTGCCTGGAAATGACCACACAGGAAGAAGAAATTTGCTCCTTAGAATTCCAAAGAACTTTTGAATATACACATGACAACAAAGGAATGGAAGTCAGGTCTTCAAGTGACAAAGTGGAGAAGTTCCAGAGATCATGTGTCACTCATTCAAAAGGAGCCTTCTCATTGAGGCGCAGACACAGAACCCAGCCCAGGCCATCTGTGTCACTATGGCCACTTCTGCTCCAGCTGTGGACTCGTCAGAGACAACCATGGGTGCCAGAAATTTGAGGCTCCTTACCCTAGAACATCCAACTGCTTCCTGGAATATCTGACATTGCTGCTTTCATCTTACAAAACACACTAGAAACTGGTCCAGACTTTCCAGAGAACCAGCCCTATTCTCCTGGTTGAGCAAGGCTACCTGGTCTTTTCCTAGGCCATTTTTCACCCCATAATTTATGCAAATAAAAGCCCATTGACAGCATGGAACATGCACATGTCTCACTGCTTTTATGTTGTTTCTCAGTGATAGAGAATCCCAACCTTCACAAGATCGATGCATGGGAATTGGTACACATGATGGTTTGTTAACAAAACTACCATGCCAAGGCTGAGAACATATATCAAAAACTATTTAAATATGGTGGGATTGTGGTGAACTTGCACAGGGCCAGGGCTCAAAATCTGTTTTCCTAATAAGAAAGAGTTTCTTGTAAAAGTCAATTTTTATATACAATTTTAAGCTGCAGACATTAATTCCAAGTGTCCAAAAATCTCAAAGTCCCACCTGTACCAGCTCCTCTTTTCAGCCTCTTTGTAGATTGGATCCCATGTCCCTTAATTAGGTGATGAAAAAGTCTTCATATCAATAATGAATAATGCCAGTGCAAATAGATTCTGTGACTATACATACCAACAATAATTACAGTAAATGACCATTACAAAGGAGATCATACTTACCGAACATAAAAGTTATTGTGGAGACCTCATTATTCTCATCCACGTTGAGGAAGTACCCCACCAGTGATGTTTCTGATGCATAAGTAAGTTCTATAATGGTTGTACCCTCATCTGTGTGAGAGACAGAATAGAGAGGTCGATGAAGAGCTAGAGAGAGTAGGAAAAAACTTTCTTTGACTGACTGTGCCTTTTTGCACCCTATAACATTTCACATTTTCCAGTCTTACTAAAAAGTATTTTAAAATGCAGTTTCAAAAGGAACAAATGTAATCCTTAAATACCATGAGCATGTTATAACCATATTATCAAAAGGAAGAGTTAAAACCTCCTTGTATTTCTCCTATCTGAGAATTAAGATTGATTTTTCCTTGTCATGGAAATGACTGTAAGATTGGTACAATGGTGAAACTGTGGACATTTGCTCAATATCATTGGGCCACTGAAAATTTGGAATGTCCTTCAGGACTACTAGCAATAGTTTAAGAGATAGATATCCTAACAAACATGCCCACGTTCTTAGAACAAACACTTTCATTAAGAAAGAGGTGTGTTTGGTGTGTAAATCACAAGGACTTGTTTAAATTTTAACTAAATCAACCTTATATTGAAAGGATTAAGATGTTTTAAGATGATCAAAAGTGTATCATTTTAATTCAAAATGACACCAGTAGATACATTTTATGATAGCATATTGGGCTTGATTGTCTGAGGTTCTTTGGAGTATCAGGAAGCATTGGAAGGAACCTCAGGGCTTTATGTAATAAATGTCTTCTGATTGTGATCTTAAGTACTGCAAAGAAGTCTAAATTGGAAGGGACCTTCAAAGCATTATGATGTAAATCTCTGAGCCAGATGGAATTAAAATAGGGGATAACGAAAGGATCCTGATTATTGCTAGATCTTGTATGAGCATTTGTGAAGGTACTGGAAAAGACAAGAGCAATATTTGAATCCTAAAATTCTTGTAGCCATAATCAACTGTACCTACATTTTTCGAGGAAAACATGATTTTTGATCCTTGTCGCAGGGATAGATTGTTCTACGCATACTCCATTCACCCTGGAAAGGAAAACATCCTCAAGTTGGGAGATGGAGAATGATGAAAACTTCCTGTCTAAACAGGATTTTCACAGTTTCTCCTCCACACCACCTTGTGTCAGATACCCTTTATGGCCTATGGTCAATACAACATTGAAAAAAGAAGAAAATTGTCATCTGAGATGAAATGATGATCAAGAGACAAGGAGGCCATCGCCTACACTGAACATCTCAGAGTACTCCCAAGGGGATGGCATCTACCAAGCAGGATACATTTCCTACCGCATCGATTTCTCTTGTATTTCACTTGAAGAAATTATGTCTTCAGAAATAAACTGCATTTAGTTTCTTACATTTGTGCTTTTTTAATGTGTTCTTAATTCTGTGTCCACAAAAATTTTACCCTTCACTTCACTGATAATTCCTTCCCAATTTCTGACAGATTCATGATCGCTCCTCATTTCCAAGCCTTTCATTTGTCAGATCTCCACAACTTTCATTTGTCAGATCTTTGCAAGATTCATTCAAATCTCTTTCTTCCAATTGTTGCCACTAGCATATTTCCTCTGTACTTTAGCAACACAATTTTTGTTTTCAAATTTCAAGTTTACCATGCCTCCCGATGCAACTGCATATGGATAAGAAGAACTGTAACACATACAAGTTAATAACATACTCAACACCAAAACTGCAAATATTTAATCTAATGGAGAAAGCTCAGGTTCTCTCAACACAACCTGATGTTTTTGGACATGGCACATTATTGGGTTGCAATGAATTCTTCTCTTCATTTACTTAGGATTCTCACTCTTAAACCTAAGTTTTGGTGAGTCAAGAATTGTTCTTTCTGGGAAAATAAATGACGTATGTGAGTTCAGCAAATATGTTGCTGTGTGTTTTTGTGTGTGTTGACAGAGAGAGAGGAAAGACAGAGTGAGAGCAGAGCGAGGGAGAGAAAGTGAGAGAGGAGTATAATTCCTAAAATTTTGTTATTGGCTTTCAAGGCATCTCTCCTGATCCACATCATCAAATTGAGAATGAATAGAAAAATTTTAGAATTCAATCTTAGTTTGTTTGATACACCATGAGTTCATGGAAAATATAATCGGAAAGTAGAATCTGTTGGCTTCTTTAATTTCAGGTCATATCCATATCAATTAAGGGACACTCACAATTAATGCTTGGACGTACAAGATCGTTGATGACTAAGCACATTTCTTCCTGCTTCACCTGTGTGCACAAGTCCCTCCACACATTCGATGCGCAGGCCCCTGGCCCTGCTCTTTCTACCCAACATGATTTCCGTTAGTGATTACTGCTGACAAGGGGCGTATTTCTCGCTACTCCTCCTCCTTTCTCTGACCTGCCCATCCCACCTTCAAGTTCATCCTCAACCTGTCTCCACACCCCTGCCGCATTTCAGATTCACAGGGCTCTCTTCATTCTCCATTTCAGGATGGTGACTTTACATCGTCTACACCATTATTACACAATGTCACCCATGCGGTTGTTACCAGGTTCCACATCAGTTGCATTAACACTATTTGAGGATTAAAGGTGAAAAGGTAACCTTTCTATTCTCTTATTCCTTTTCTTAACCACATATGTGCAATTCTCTGAGCAAACATTCATAAATAACCCTCAAAGCAGGAAGGGTGAATGAACTGAGTCATTCAATAGATGTTGATATTCCTTCTTCAGGGTAGAGGTCATTTGTTATCTACCTGCCAACACTGCTGTGGACCACAGCTCCCTTTACATGGACCATCCTCGGCCATTTCCACATGGACCCTGCAGGCTCATGGCAGGCTCTGTGGGGATGGAGACGTCTATAGAAACTTGGGGCTGATTTGGGTCTCTTTCTTTAAGGAGATGATTCCTGCTGGTGCTCTTGTGGCTATTTGTTGTCCAAGCAAATGATGCAGGATCCTATCTAAAGAATTCATGTACACCTGAGTGTAGCCCTGAGTGAACATCTCCAAAGTCCCCGGTAATCACAAAACTCAGTCCTACTCTTTCCCATTAGGCAGAGAGTTTACTCTTTTTGTCCTCTGCTGTTGTTACTTACCTGAAATAAACATCAAAAGATGCATCTCCATTTCCAGTGTCAAAATTAATTTTACGGTACAAACCTCTGAATGGACCATTCTCACCTGTCATCACAGGATTATTGGAAGCCTCATAAAGGGTCTTCCATTCACCTGAGAACTAAAAGAAGAGTCTGGTCAGAAATTGTACTCAAATGATATTGAAAAGTTTTCTCTGACCTCATACATCAAGTGTTTCTCATTCCTTGTTCATCACGACAAAACCATCTATCTCTACCAAAGAAGGCAGGATTGTTAAAATAACGTCAAAACACAATGTAGCAGCCAAGAAAGAAACCGAGATAATCCTGAAATAGATTAAGCTCTGTTACAAAATGCAAGAGCTCCACCCAACAATTCTGTATCTGAACTGTTGGGCTAAACAGAACTGTTTAGTTCTGTTTTAAAACCACCATTGTAATGTATAACTAGTCACTTTGTCTGCTCTACCAACAATGCAGAGACAAAACCAGTAGAGTAAATGTACAGAATGAACTGATTAAGAAGCCACTCTGTGTCTGAGGTAGATGGCCGGCCTTAGGTGCATATAAATTGGACACACATATAATGAGTATAAAAAGGTTAGGCACATGGACACATGCATGCAGAAGCCTTTGTCTAAGGTACCTGTGAGAGGTCTGTTGTGGACAGGTCAGCGCAAACCAGACCGAGTAGAAGAGTCAGCAGCAGGACCTTCATTCTTGGCTTCTGGTTGATTCCAGTGCAGAGCTGTTCAGAGTGAACTGCTTGATGCAGAGACTCAGAAACTTTGCCTCTTTATGTACTGTTTGCTTGTGGGGTGGTGCCAGGCCCGTGGTGGATCTGTCTATCATTGATCATAACAATTCCCTTGGCATCATGGAAAATAAACATCCTGGAGCAGGGCAATGCATCCTGAATGCCATCCCGATGTTGACCACATTCTCCCCTTTCATTTATTTCTACTAAACCCTTTCCTCCTGGGCCTCCAGAGCTGCTTGGATCTACTCTGTGGGACTTGGATTGCACAATCATGCTTTGACTTAAGTAAAAAAAAAACAAAAACCTGTCCTTGACTTTTCACTTGTCAGGTTTCAAGGAAATTATCTGCTTCGTGTGAAAAAATCTATTCCCTGTGCCCTTGAGAAGGACAGAAAGATCTACATTGTGTGTTTTGGGAGTCATCAGCTCAGAGATATGAATGCCAAGGTCCTGGGGGCAAAGATCTGGTCATGGTTCATGCCTGGGTTCAGGCATCGGTGAGGGTCTGCTGCAGGGCGCTCCATATTGTGGACCATGTAAGAGAAGTTTTGGAGGGCCTTGTCTGGGTTTCTGGAACACCTTGTAGTGAGCATTTATCTTTTGAAACCTATGGAAAGCTGATGGCACAGTGTGTACTTTACTGGGAGGACACATCTGAATCAGGTAACTTTCTCTTGAGGAAATCAAGACATTAGTATATAAAACAGGGTCATTTTGGAAGATGTTAGTATAATGAATTTCTTCACAATTAAATGAACGTGCTCATCATTTTCACAATGTCATTCTGGGAACATGACGTTGGCGTTTCTTTAGAATTTGATTTTCCCAGGTTCACTGCAGTTCCCACTTTCAAACAGCCATCAAACCCTGGCCCCGAGGAGATATTAGATCTTTTTGTAAACCAGCTTCTTCTTCATGCAGTCTGAACATGATAAAACTACAGTAAACTGTCTATGTGGTTTCATTCATGCAGGAATGTGTGCTTATTTACCATCTGAGAACCCATTTTGTGGTGCCAATGATAAATACATTTATGTCCCCACTGAAAATGTCTGTCCAGAGAAACTGCTGCAGATGATAATGCCTTGGATGACAGTTATCACTGTGCCATTTCATCACAACTTTGGTAGTGAGTTCCCTGTCACGGCCAAAGTCATCACCCTCAATAAATACTTATAGTACATCAATGATGAGTTATTATTATTAGTTACTTCTATAAGTGTTCTCCTTTCAATTCAAGCTCAGGGCTGTCATGAACCAAGTTGAAGTGTTATAGGCTCAGGCAGAGCGGGACAGAGCTCACATCCCCTCAGGACACAGCAGCTCTGAGGCTCCTTCCTTTCCTCTGGCACTTTCTCTCTGGGAATCCACTCGTCTCTCATCTTCATGTAAGTTGGTAAAGCCAAAGAGTACTCCACAAACCCATCCATGTTGGGAGGGAAACATCGAGTGCAGTCCCTGACAAGCCTCTGAGAGCCACTGTAACTACAAGGAGTAGACCTGCATGTGTGAGTGAGGGAAACCTGTATGGACAAGAACGGAGGCCATATCACAGCGATTCTGCCAAGGCAGGGGAGGCTGAGCTCCCAGGGGTCTCTGAGAGGTGACCGTGACATAGGTACAGCCCAGGACTGTGAAATTGCCCTTGTCCTCTCTACTCTGTTACAAACTTTTAGGTGAGGAGGAAAGGAGCAATGCATTTCATTGTGACAATGGTGCTAGTCGGCAAAGATAGAGACAGAAATTCGCACTTGTGAATTAGGAGAATCAAGATGGTGGAGGAGTCGGTGGAAGTCACACTGATCTCCTCTCAGGACCAACCTGGAATTACAACTAAGTAGTGGAGAAATCACAAGAACAAAAAACTGAACAAGAATGAGAGAGCAGTCTTGTAACCTTAGAGACAGAAGAATCAGCTTTAGCACAACCTAACTGGTAAGGAGTGTGATAGAGACCTGAGAAGGCGAGTGGGGCACCAACGGGTGACAGCACCAGAAGGATATTGAAACAGCCACTGGGACCCCCTGAAGAAGAGCAGGGTCTAAACCAAAAGCGGGGGTCTCTAGCCCACAGCACCAGAGACCAGAAAGTGCACAGAAAATAGCCAGCTGTGAAAAACACCAGCGCTGCTCTCGGCCAGAGACAGGAGGCAGGAGATGCAAAGAGCTGTTTAAAGGGCCAACGCATAACTTTTTATCTGCAGCCACTTATCCTGGTCTCTGGCAAAGGGGGTTAAGTGGGCGAGAGATGCCCGAGAGGCTGAGGAAACTTTGCAGAGAGATCTGACATGGTAGCCAACTGCATCCTGGTGCAAACTCCTCCTCCATAGGGCCGTAGCAGGAGAGGAGGCAATAACCCCGCCCTCTGGAGGGAATCTGCCCTGCCCTGAGCTGTATAAAGTTTGCTGAGTGTAGAATGACTAGTTTAACCCCTGAAGGATGCAGCTACAAATAGTAGATTACTCAAGGTCTTGAACAGACTGCCTGAGATCCAACAGGGTCAACATCTGACATCAGCAGAGGCAGATCCAGAAAGTTAAAATATCGGTCTCCAACCATAGAAGTTCACATCACAAAGTCAGGAAATCAGGAGAGATCAACTTAAGAATCAGAAGCAAAAGAAAAGAGTCTCACAAATAATGGAAAAACAAAGAAGTACGCCCCCTCGAAGCGATAGGAGAAATCCTCAGAAAGACAACTAAATGAAATAGAGGCAGGTAAACTATCAGATATTAAGTTCTAAACAGCAGTTCTAAGGAAGCTGAATGAGCTCAGTGAGCTCAGAGGAAATTACAAAAAACTATAGGGAAACTACAAGGAACTTACTGCAAACTATATCAGCATGAAAAAGGACATAGAAACTATCAACAAGAGGCAAGAGGGAATGAGAAATACAATTTCTGCATTGAAAAACACAGTAGAAGGAATTATAAGCAGGTTAGAGGAAGCTGAGGACCAAATTAGTGAGCTGGAGGACAAGGTAAAAAAAGCTCCCAAATAGAGGAAGAAAATGAAAAAAACTCAGAATGAATGAAGAGGCATTTAGGAAAAGCAGGACAACCTGAAATATAATAATATCCGTATAATAGGGATACTAGAAGGAGAAGAAGAGGAGCCAGGGATAGAGAACTTGTTTCAAAAAGTAATGATGGAAAACTCCCCTCACTGGAGGAGTGAAAAAGTCACACAAGTTCAGGAAGCAGACAGGGTCCCATTCAAGAGGGATCCAGTGAGGTCCACTCCAAGACACATCATCATTAAAATGGCAAATTTCAAAGAGAAACAGAGAATCCTAGAGCAAGCAAAGGAGAAAGAGGTAGCAATGCATACGGGAGCCCCGATATGGCTAGCAGCTGACTTCTCAACAGAAACACTGCAGGCCAGAAGGAAATGGCAAGAAATATTGCAAGTCATGAAAAGCAAAGGCTTGCAACCATGACTGTTCTACCCAGCAAGACCTCAATTAAAATGGAAGGCAAAATGAGGAGTTTCCCAGACAAAAGGAGGCTGAAAGAATACACCTCCACCAAACCAGTACTGCAAAATATGCTAAAACGACTGCTTTAAGATGAAGAAAACAATTTTCTATGAATACCTAGTTCCTTTCAGAGTTGCCAATACTTGATATGACCAATATTTTTAATACTCATTAATATGAGTGTGACAATGATGTTATTTTAATTGTACCTTTATCATTTGTGGAAGCGAAACCTGTTTTAGTATATTTTTTGCCTATTTCTAATATTTTTTAAAAAAAACCTTTAAATGACTTTTTGGTAGTCTTTATCCATTTATTGATTAAAGGTTTGCAGAACTATTTCCCCCACCAAATGCCCCCCCCACAAAAAAAACTTATTAACCATGTCTTATATGTGTTGCAAATACTTTTCTATTCCTTGTCCTTTAACTTTTTTTCTATATATATTACTATACAGTAAAATGTTTTATTGGGTCATATTGTTAATATTTACTTTATAGCTTTTGGGTTTGAATATTTTACTTCAGGTCATGAAAAATATTAGTTGTATTTTCTTCTAAAACTCCTTAGATTCTACATATTGCTTTTTAACTCACCTGAGTATTTCTTGTATAGTGTGTGAAATAGGGTTCTATATTTGTTTTATTTCAAGTAATAATGATCCATTCACCTTAGTTGTTGAATAAGCCTTATTTTCCCCATTGATTTGAAATATCATCTTAATCATATATTGTTAGACAGATATGTACATTTGTGTCTAGAATACTCTTTATATTTCATTGACCTACTTGATTATTTCTGTGCTGGTGTCATGTTGGTTTAATTACAGAGACTTTATAATGGTTTAAAATATTTTTAGTATTTTATAATTAATTTTGACATTTAAAAAATAAATAAAATCAATGTGCATTTAAGAAAGAAAGGAAGAGGGAAATGGAACTCCTACCTTTGTGACAACATGGATGGAAATGGAGAATATTAAGCTAAGTGAAATAAGCCAGTTAAGGAAAGACATATACCATATGATCTTACCTATAAGTAGACTCTACTCAACAAAATAAATTAATGAACAAAATAAACCACAGGCTTGCAGGAGAGGTCATATGGTATTTGTCTTTCACCCCGGGCTTATTTGGCTTAGTATAATTTTCTCTAGTTCCAGCCATGCTGTCATGAAGTGTAGTCGTTCTTTTTTTCTTTCTGCTGCGTAGTATTCCATTGTCTAAATATACCATTGTTTTTTGATCCAACCTTTTACTGATGGGCATTTAGGTTGCTTCAAGCACTTGGCTATTGTCAATTGTGCCACGATGAACATTGGGGTGCATAGGGTTCTTTGGAAGTGGTGCTTTGGAATTTTTAGGGTATAGTCCCAGCAGTGGAATCCCTGGATCAAAAGGCAGTTCCATTTTCAGCTTTTGAGGAAATTCCACACTGCTTTCCACAATGGCTAAAGCAGTATGCATTCCCACCAACAGTGTACTAGTGTTCCCTTTTCTTCACGGCTTTCATAATCTTTGTTCACACTCTGGCCATTGTGCAGTATAATCAACATATAAGAATAGTGTTTTTCCCCTGGAAATTTTATAGAGAAGAACCCCAGATACATATGTATGCGTGTGTGTGTACAGATACTGATATATGTTTGTATATCCACACATATGCCTTCCAGTGTATATGATAATTAAATTTGGAGCTTTTACATTTTTTGTGTGCTCTGATTTAAAGGGACAGATTTTTATTTCATACATTCATCCAATCACTCATTTAAATGTATAGTAATATTTTTAAGCAATTACACTTGTCCCTCTTTCCCGCATTCGCTCACCTTTGCCCATCCTCCACCCATTTCCCTGGGTCCATCACCACAGTGTTGTCTGCGTCCCTGGGTCGGGCACACAAGGTCCCTTGCTACACCCTTCCCCTTCTCTGACTCCTTTCTCTCTCTCCCTCTGCCCTCTGGCAGTTGTCAATCTGTCCATGTGTCCGTTGCTTTATTTTTATTTATTTCATCCGTTTATGTTGTTCAGTAGGTTTCCCATATGAGTGAGAGCATATGGTATTGGCCTCTGGTCACTGGGTTCTTTTGCTTAACATCGTCTTCTCCAGGTGTATCCATGCCTCGGGAAAGGACTGGTTTACAAGGACTTGTTTAAGTGTTAACTCCATCTTGTTTATTTTGAAAGGATTAAAGTGTTTTAGGATGATGAAAAGAGTACGTTTTTATTTCAAGCTGACACCAATAGGTCCATCTCAAATAAACTTTTGGGGTTGATTGCCTGAGGCCCATTGGAGTACTCAGGAAGCATTGGAAGGAACCTCAGGGCCTAATGTAATAAATGTTTTTGGAAGGTGATCTTACATACTGCAGAGGAGTGAAAAATTGGAAGGGACCTCTAGGCAGCTTCATGTAAACCCCTGTGAGGGATGACATTTAAATAGGGGATAACCAAAGGATCCTGATTATTGCCAGATCTTGTATGAGGGTTGTGGAGGTACTGGAAAAAACTGAGAGGAATATTTCAAGCTTAAATTTCTTGTAGCCATAAGGCAAGTGTACTTATATCTAAGGAGGAAAACATGGCCTTCGATCCTTATCCCATTGGTAAATATTGCCGTGCATTCTCCATTCAGCCTGGAAAGGAAAACATTCTCAAGTTGGGAGATTGAGAATGATGAAAACTTCCTGTCTAAACAGGATTTTCACTGTATGACCCTCACACGACCTTGTGTCAGATACCCTTGAGGGCCTTTGGTCAATATGATGTCGAAAGGAGAGGAAATTACCATCCAAGATGAAATTACAGTCAAGAGGAAAGTAAGCCATTGCCTACACTGGAAACATCAGAGTCCTCCTAAGGGATGGCATGACCCAACCTAACCAGGACGTATTACCCACCTATTCGATTTCTCTTTTACCCCACTTGACGAAAGTATGGTTTTAGAGATAAACTGCACTTATTTTCATATACTTATGGTTTTTTAATGCGTTCTTAACTCTGCATCCACCAAAATTTTCCCCTTCCATTCAGTGATAATTCCTTCCCAATGCCTAACACAATCATGGCTGTCTCCTTATTTCCAAGTCTTCATTCACGTTTACCCAAGTTTGTTAGCACAGCTGCCACGCACAGGCTGAGAACATATTCCAAAAACTGTTTAAACTTGGTGGCGTTGGATTTAAGCCCAAGTTTAAATCCAAGTTGAACTTGCAGCTGATTTTCATCTCTTTCTTTAATGAGTTGATTCCTGTTGGTGCTTCCGTGGTATTTATTTTCTAAGCAAATTCTGCATGATACTGTCTATGGAGTTATTGTCGAGCTGAGCGTAGACCTGAGTAGCTGTCTCCAAAGTCCCTGGTAATTACAAAACTTAATCCCACTCTTACCCGTTAGGCAGAGCGTTTACTCTTTTTGTCCTGTGCCATTGTTACTTACCTGAAATAAACATGAGAAGATGGATCTCCATTTACTGAGTCAAACTTAATTTTCCGGAGAAAACCACTGAATGGGCCACCTTCTCTTATCATCACCGGATTATTGGAGGCCACGTAAAGGGTCTTCCATTCAGCTGAGAACTAAAAGCAGAGTCCGGTCAGAAACTTTAGTCAAATGATATTGAAAAGTTTTCTGTGACCTCCTTCATCAAGTGCTTCTCATTCCCTGTTCACTGTGACAAAACCATCTATCTCTCCCAGAGGAGGCAGGATGGTTAAAATAACATCAAAAGAGAATGGAGCATCCCAGTGGGAATCTGAGATATTCTAGAAATAGATTAATCTCCGTTACCAAATGCAAGAGCTCCACCCAACAATTCTGTACCTGAACTGTTGGGCTAAACAGAACTGTTTAGTTCTGTTTTAAAACTACCATGTAATGCATAACTGGTCACTTTTTTCAGCTCTACCAACAATGCAGAGACAATACTGGTAGAGCAAGTGTCCCGAAGGAAGTGATTATGAAGTGAATCTGCACCCGAGGTAGATGGCCGGCTTTAGATGCACATAAATTGGACACACATATAACGAGTATAAAAAGGGTAGGCACACAGACACACACACGCAATAGCCTTTGTCCAGGGTACCTGTGAGAGGTCTGTTGTGGACAGATAAGGGCAAACCAGGCCCAGTACAAGAGTCAGCAGCAGGGCCTTCATCCTTGGCTTCTGGTTGGTTCTTCTGCAGAGGTATTTGGGGTGTGCTATTTGTTGGTGATATGCAGTATCTTTGTCCCTTTATGCACTGTTTGCCTGCGGGGTGCCAGTGGTGAAACTGCCTATCATTGACAGTAAGAGATCCGTTTCATCATTGAAAATAAACATCCTGGTTCAGGGCGATGCATCTTGAAGGTCATCCAGATGTTGGCCACATTCCCCCTTTTCGTTTACTCATACTAAACCCTTCTCTCCTGCGCCTCCAGAACTGCTTGGATCTGGCTGTGGGACTTGGACAGCAAGATCCAGCTTGGTTATCTCACATTCTAGTAAAAAACACCTGTCCTTGTCCTTTCATTAGACAAGTTTCAAGGAAATTACCTGCTTGATGTCAAAGAAGCTCCTCCCTGTGCCCTGGAGGACAGAAAGATCTACATTGTGTGATTTGCCAGTCACCAGCACAGAGATGTGAATGCCAAGGTTCTAGGGGCAAATGTTTGGTCATGGCTCATGCCTGCACTTGGGTTTTGTGGAAAGTATGACAATTGGTGGAAGGGCTCAGGAGATATATAACTTGATTTGAACCAAAGGGAAGAGGAGAACAGAGCACACACAAGTGTTTTCAAAGATCACTTACTTTGTCCTTGTTAAAAGTTCTCAACTTGACTTCTTCTAAGAGGTCATTTCTCCTTATAAATATTTTACACTCTTTGGTGCATATACAGGTGGTGTGACATTGAAGTGTTTTCAAAGAATTGACCATCTAGTAGCTTTTTCCGTGTCAGAAGTTCTCATTAACAGCAGTGAATGTGAGCACAGCCACTTTGGAGGTGAAGCTGGTGTACACCTTGTCCTGCATCTCACCTCTTGCCCTCCTGTCACCAGTCCTCTGCACAAATAACACTACTGTGGCCCTGAGACTATTGAAGACACGTTTTATACACAGGCAATTAAAAAGGATATTTGTGTGTATTTAAGTTATGTAGAAGGCTGCAAAGTCACACGTGGACAGACTTGCTCTGAAGTCAGTTTATTGGAACACAAAGATGTCCAGGAACACCACACAGGCTCTGATTGGTGACTGGCTGGGAGGGAAGGGAGTGAGCTCATGAAGAGAGACAGACATGGTGGTCAGGAACAAGAATCCTTCCCGCAGTTGATCAGGTCCCACGGAGAAGATGTGCCCCATTCTCAGGACATAGTCTATGGAAGAGAAAAGCAAGACCGAAGGTTAGCTGACTGGGCAGGGTGAATCTTTGATTGAGGAGACTGTAGGAGATGGAGTATGAAGGGTTTAAATGACCATAGTGAATCCCATGGTCAAGTTCCAGGTGACAGGATCTTCTCCACCACTCTGATGTGGGAAGGTGCCTTCAGAAAGTCCCTAGGATGTACCCTAGGTGGGACCTTCCTACTCCTGAACTCATGTTGTCAAGAGAGATTTCATGGGGACGGGGTTTCTAGAAGATATTAGCAAAAACTGTGAAAGAGTTATATTTATGGCCTCTACTTCCTACAGATTTTGTGGATATTAAGCATTCTTTCATCCCCGAAGTTTAAAAAAAAACCAAACAAAATTGCCAGGACATGTGTCTACTCCGAATCTAGATCTCATTAGGAAGTGTGTAATATCCGCAGTTTAATCAAATCCCTTGCAGAAGCACACCTGTCAGAGAGTGTGGCTGGAAAATCTCCCCGTGGCTGTCAGGATTATGTATAAGGAGACTGTGTATTTGCAGGGGACGGGGTTCAGTTTCACCCACATTTCCGTGGAAGACTGAACTACATGTACAAACCATGGAGACAAGATGGAGTTGAAGAATCAAGGTTTTCCATCTTCTCTACCAAGTTCTGGCAGTTCCTGATTCTCCCCAAGATCAAGTTTTCTGTGTGACCCTTCTGTGTTAACTCTTTGTCAACAGAACTCTGTCAGTATTATATCAATTGCTCATTAGCTATTTAATGGGACTGAGAAGAAACAAAATATGTGATATCGCAGGGACAAGTCCTGTAGTGAGAGAATTTACTTGTTTGGACAAAACGTCGTTCCCCACCTCACACAGCGCACATATAATCAAAGGTATACTTGTAAAGTTTTTGAGAGAAGGGCTTAAGAAGAGCTCATTGGTACTTACTGCCCGTGAGAATCAAGGACTCTGCTTTCATTAATTTTCAGGACAGTCTTCTGTGGACCAAAGAAAAGGAACAGGAATTCAAAGAGTCACCAGCCAGTACCATTTCCCAATGTTTCCCAGGAGTTGTAATTCATTTTATTGAAAGGACTGACTTATAATTTGTGATTGATGGAAGAGTAAATTTAAGATACATCAATTTGTTTCCTAAGAGAATATTTCCATTCCAGTTAAATGAGATAGTCATGAAAAAATCAGTAGTCTCATTACCTATATTGGTAAAGTCTAAAATATTTCCTTCTGGAATATCCATTTTCTGAGTCAGCTCCTTGAACTTCTCGAAATCTTGGTCATTTGCATGGTTTGATTTGCCTGGAAGAGACCACACGGGGGAAGAAATTAGTTCCTTAGTGTTCTAAAGAGATTGAGGATAAACACATGACAATAAAGAAGTAGAAGTCACGCCTTCAAGTGATAAAATGTTAAGGTTCCAGAGGTCAGGTGTCACTCATTCCAAAGTCAGCTGCCTCATGAAGTGCAGATTCAGAACCCAGCCCAGGCGTTCTGCATCGCAACGTCCACTCCTGCTCCAGCTGTGGACTCCAGAGACAGCCATGGGTGCCAGCAGGTTGAGGCCACTTCACCGAGAACGTCTACCTGCTTCCTGGAATATCTGACATCGCTGCTTTCTTCTCCTCAAACCCACTAGGAACATGGTCTCGATCTTCCAGAGAACCAGCCCTGTCCTCATTGTGGAGCCAGGCTAGCTGGACCTTTGTGAGATCACTTTTCACCCCATAATTTATTCAAACAAGAGCCCATTGGCAGCATGACACATGCACCCATCTCAGTGCCACGTGGTCATTTCTCAGGGATAGAAAATCCCTACCTTCACAAGACGGATGCATGGAAGTGTACGCATGATGCAGGTTTAACAAACTTGTGAGGACAAGGCAGAGAGCATATTCCAAAAAGTATTGAAATATGGTGGTATTGGCATCAACTCAACAGAGCCAGGGCTCATAATTTGTTCACCTAATTAGAAAGAGTATTTTTAAAACTCAAATTTGGTATAATTTTAAGTTGCAGGCATTATTTCCAAGTGACTGATATATGAAAGCCCTGCCTGTACCAGCTCCTCTTCTCAGCCTCTTTGTAGATTGGATCCCATGTTCCTTTTTGAGATGATGGAAATGACCACTTATCAATATTGAATAACACCAGTGCGGATAGATTCTGTGAGTATACATAAGAACAATAGTTGTGTGAAATGACCATGAGAAAGGACATCATACTTACTGAACAGAAAGGTTAGGATGGAGACCACATTGTCTTCCACATTGACGTTATACCCCACCAGGGAATCTTCTGATATGTCAGTAAATACAGAAAGGGTTGCACCCTCATCTGTGTGAGAGACAGAATGGAGAGGTTGATGGAGAGCTCGGGAGACTAGGAACAAACTTTCTTTGAGTATGTCTTTTTACACTTTATAATATTTCACATTACCCAGTCTTACTACAAAGTACTTTAAAACAGGGTTTCAGAAGAAGCTAATATATTCCTTAAATACCATGAGGCTGTGGTTGAAACCATATTATTTAATAGAAGAGTTAATCACTCCATTCATTTCTCCTATCCCAGAAGGAAGATTGATTTTCCCTTGGCGAGGAAATCATGTAACATTGGTAAAGTTGTGTAATTGCGCACATTTCCTAATGTCGTTGAGCCACTGACAGTTTGGAATGTTTTGGCATTAAGAAGTTTTAAGGAGAAAGATATCCTAAGAAACATGTCCTTGTGCTTAGAATAAACACTTCAGGAAAGGAAGATGCCTGTTTGGTTTTTCAATTCACTAGAACTTGTTTCAGGTTTAACTAAATTAAACATATGTTGAAAGAAGTAAGGTGTTTTTAAGACAATCAAAAGTGGATCCTTTTAATTGAAAACGACACCAATAGATACACTTCAGAAGAGCCTATGGAGCTTGGTTGTCTGAGGTCCCTTGAAGTGCTCATGAAGCATTCAAATGAACCTGAGAGCTTCATGTAATAAATGTCTTCTGAGTTGATCTTACTAACCTACTGCATTGGAATCAAAATGGAAAGGGTCCTGCACTGGCATTATTCAAGGCATAATCATGTAAATCTTTGTGTGGGATGAAATTTGAATACTGGATAGCAAAGGACCCCTATTCTTGCTAGATCTTGTCTGAGGATTTGTGAAAGAATTGGAAAGCACTGAGAGCAACATTACAATCCTAAAGTTCTTATAGCCATTAGGAACCGGTACTTACACTTTAAGACAAAAACATTGCCTTCGACCCATTTCCCATGAGCATACTCTTCCAGACATTGTCCATTCGCCCTGCAAAGGGAAACATCCTCCGGTTGGGAGACCGAAAATGATAAAAACTTCCTGTCTCACTGGGATTTTCACAGTATCCCACTCACACGACCTGTGTCAGATATCCTTAATGGCCTCTGGACAATATAACGTTGAAAACAGAAGGAAATGGTCATCCAACATGAAATGATGATCAAGAGGCAAAGAGGCCATTGTCTACACTGGAAATGTCAGAGTACCCCCAAAGGGTCGGCACATACCTCGCAAGACACACTTGACACCTCCTCGATTACTCTTGTACTCCCCTTGTGCAAATTATGTCTTCAAACATAAATTGCATTTAGTTTCTTACATTTATGCTTTTTTAATGTGTTCCTGACTCTCTGTCCACCAAAATTTTACCCTTCAATTCAGTGATAAGTCCTTCCCAATTACCAACACATTCATGGCTCTCTCCTTATTTCCAAGCCTTTACTCACAACTATCATTTGTCAGGTCTTTTCTAGACTCATTGAAAACTCTTGTTTCCAATTGTGACCACTAGCATATTTCCAGTGGACCTACAATGAAATTTCTCTTTTTTTCTTTTTTTTCAAATTTCAAGTTAACCAAGCCTTCCAATGTAACTAGGTACTCAGAAGAACTGTAACACATACAATTAATAATGTAGTCAGCATGAAAAATGCAAATATTTAATCTTATGTGGAAAGCCCAGTTTCTCTCAGCACAAGCTGGTGTTTTTGGACACCCAGCATTTCTTGGGTGGCAACGAATTCTTCTTTTGATTTACTTAGGATTCTCTTTCTTTAACCTAAAGTTTGGTGTGTCAAGATTGTTCTTTCTCACAAAATAAGCAGCATATGTCAATATAGATATTACCAATTTAGCAAATATGTTGCTGTGTGTTTGTGTGTGTGTGTTGTGTCTTACAGTGGGAGAAGGAAGATAGAGACAGACCAGAGTGAGTGACAGAAAGTGAGAGAGGAGTACAATTCCTAAAATTTTGTTATTGGCTTTGAAGACATCTCTCCTGACTGACTCACATCATCAAGTTGAAAATGCATAGAAAAACTTTAGAATCCAATCTTAGCGTGTTTGATTTATCATGATTTCATGGAAAGCGTAATCAGAAAGAAGAATCTGCCGGCTTCCTCAGTTTCAGGAGATATCCTTAATGTGTAAGGGACACTCACAGTTAATGCTTAGACCTACAAGATCGGTCATGAATAAGTACATTTCCTCCTGCTTCACCTGTGTGCACAAGTCCCTCCACACATTCTATGCGCAGACCCATGGCCCTGCTCTTTCTTTCCCAAAACATGATTTACATTAGTGAGTGCCGCTGATCGAAGTGCACTTGTCACTACTCCTCCTTCTTTCTCTGACCTGCCCATCCGACCTTCAAGTTCATCCTCAACCTGTCCCCTCACCCCTGCCACATCTTCATTCTCCATTTCAGGATGGTGACTTTACATCATCTACACCATTATTAAAAAGGGTCACCCATGCGGTTGTTACTGGGTTCCACATGAGTTGCTTTCATTCTATTTGAATATTGAAGGTGAAAAGGTAACCTTTCTCTTCTCTTATTCTTTTTCTTAACCACATATATACAATTATGAGAGCAAACATTCATAAATAACCCTCAAAGCAGGAAGGGTGAATGAACTGAGTCATTCAGTAGATGTTGATATTCCTTCTTCAGGGTAGAGATCATTTGTTATCTACCAGCCAGCACTTCTGTGGATTACAGCTCCCTTTACATGGACCATCCTCTGCCATTACCACATAGACGCTGCAGGCTTATGTCAGGCACTGAGGGGATGGAGACGTCTATAGACACTTGGGGCGGATTTGGGTCTCTTTCTTTAAGGTGATGATTCCTGTTGGTGCTTCTATTGCTATTTGTTGTCCAAGCAAATGCTGTAAGGATCATCTCAAGAGAATTTTTATACACCGGAGTGTAGACCTGAGTGATCATCTCCAAAGTCCCTGGTAATCACAAAACTCAGTCCCACTCTTGCCCATTAGGCAGAGAGTTCACTCTTTTTGTCCTCTGCCATTGTTACTTACCTGGCAAAAATATGATAAGTCACATCTCCATTTTCTGCATCATAATTAATTATATGAGCAGTATGCCTGAATGGGCCATTCTTAGTTGTTTTCTCTGGAGTATTGGTGGCTATATAAAGGGTCTTCCATTCTCCTGAGATCTAAAAGTAAAATTTCATTAGAAATTGTAGTCAAACGATACTTAAGAGCTTTGTCTGACTTCAATTTTCAAGAGACTCTCATCCCTCATTCACCACGAGAAAACCACCCTTTCAATGAAAGGAGGCAGGATTTTCAACCTAACTTCTGACCAGAATGTCGCATCCACGCTTGACCTGTGATATTCTTGAAACAGATTAAGCTCTGTTGCCAAATGCAGGAGCTGCACCCAACAATTTTTTTATCTAAACTGTTGGGCTAAACAGGAACAGTTCTGTTTTAAAATCACCATTGCAATGTATAACTAGTCACTGTGTTGCCTCTACCAGCAATGCAGAGACAACACCAGTACAATAATTGTTCAGAATGAACTGATTAAGATGCCAGTCAGCGTCCAAGGTAGATGGTCAGCCTTAGGTACACATGAATTGGACATACATATACTGAGTACAAAAAGGGCAGGCACACGGACACACACACGCATTAGCCTTTGTCCAAGGTACCTGTGAGAGGTCTGTTGTGGACAGATCAGCGCAAACCAGACCCAGAAGAGTCAGCAGCAGGGCCTTCATCCTTGGCTTCTGGTTGATTCCTCTGCCAGAGGTATTTGGAGCGTGCTATCTGTTGGTGATATGCAGTACCTTTGCCCCTTTATATACTGTTTGCCTGTGGGGGTCCAGTGGTGAATCTGCCTATCATTGATCGTAAGAGATCTGCTTGCATCACTGGACATAAACATCCTGGTGCACAGCGATGCATCCTGTTGGGCTTCCCGATGTTGGCCACATTCCCTCTTTTTGTTTACTTGTACTAAACCCGTTCCTCCTGGGTCTCCAGAGCTGCTTGGATCTGGCTTGTGGGACTTGGACAGCATGATCCAAATTCGATATCCCTCATTCTCGTAAGAAAAGCCTATCTGGCTTTTTATTAGACAATTTTCAAGGACATTACCTGCTTGATGTCAAAGAATTGCCTCCATGTGCCCTGGAGAATGACCTAAAGATCTGTATTGTGTGATTTGGGAGTCATCAGCTCAGGTATGTGAATGCCAAGGTCCTGGGGGCTAAGATCTTGTCATAGGTCATGCTCAGGCTCAGGCATAGTTGAGGGGCTGCCTCAGTGTACTCCATATTGGATCATTTAAGGAAAACTTTCGAGGTTACTGTGAGTGCTTCCCAATGACATTGTTAGTAGTATTACATCCCTAGAAACATGTGGAAAGCTGGTTGGAGTGTGCTTGCTTAACTGGGAGGACACGTCTGAATCAGGCTACTTTCTCTTGAGGAAATCAAGATATTAGTTTTTAAAACAGAGTCAATTTGGAAGATGCTAGTATAATGAATATCTTTAAAATTAAGCAAACTTGCTCAGCATTGTCACAATATCATTCTGGAAATGTGGCTTTGGCATTTCTTTCCATTTAGATTTTCTCAGGTGCACCTGCAGTTTAAACTTTGAAGTAACCATCATACCCTGACCCCAAGGAGATATTAGATCTTTTCATAAGTGAGCTTTTTCTGCATTCAATTTGACTATGACACAAATACAAAGAACAATCTATGTGCTTTCATTCATGCAGGAATGTGTGCTTATTTGCCATCTGAGAACCCATGTCTTGGTACCAATGATAAATAAATTCATGTCCCCACTCAAAATATGTGTCCAGAGAGACTCCAGAGATGATAATGCCTTGGGTGAGTGTAATCACTGTGTCATTTCTTCACGGTTTTGGTAGTTAGTTCCGTGTCACAGGCAAAGTCATCACTCTCAGTAATTACTTATATTACCTCAATTATGAGTTGTTATTATTGGTTACTTCTATCAGTGTTCTTCTGTTGTTTCAGCCTCAGGACTGTGAGGGACCAAGCTGAGGTGCTATTGGCTCAGGGCCACAGGGACATAGTTCACATCCCCTCAAGACACAGCCGCTCTGAGACACCTCCCTTTTCTCTGGAACTTTCTCTTTCTCTTTCCCTCCTCTCTCATCTTCATGTACAACAATAAAGCTGATGAGAACTCCACAGACCCACCCATGTCGGGAGGGTAGCATAAAGTTCAGCCCTTGACATGCCTCTGAGAGCCACTCTAATGAAAAGAAGTAGACGTGCAGGTGTGAGTGAGGGAAAAATGGTGGGGACAGGAATGGAGGCCATATCACTGAGATTTGGTGAAGGCGGGGGAGGCTGAGCTCTCAGAGGTCTCTGGGAGGTGCCCATGCCATAGATACAGCCCAGGACTGTGAAATTGTCCTTGTGCTGCCGAGTCCGTTATAACCTTGAAGGTGAGCAGGACAGGAGCAATGCATTCCATTGTGACAATGGTGCTAGTCGGCAAAGATAGAGATGAAATTCATACGTGAAAGAAAACCTAATACTTTTGTAGTGACTATGTAACTGTATGTGTGTCTGTGTGTGTGTTTGAGCACTGTTTTTTGTGAGACTAAAAATACCCAGTAGCCCATGCATTCATGTGGTGAAATGGCCAGCGTTCTTTGTAACCTGTGGAGCTCTAGTCACTTTTCTATGAGGCTTTAGACAAAAGCTTCATTTTCTTTCCTCTCCTTTACAGAAACCCTAATTGACTCCAACAACATGCTGTAAAGTCAAACACAAGTGGATACAATAAAAGAGTGATTTAGGAAACATGTTAGTTTGGAAAAATGGAAATTCATTGCAGAGAATATTCTGAGTCCTCCATGAAATGCATAGATTCAATTAAATACCTTATGCATGTGAATGTTACAGGTTGGTGTTCCTAGCAAAGATTCACCGGATTGCAATGTGGACCTGTGCATATTTCTAAATCAAAGTAAAGAACTGCGAGTGTCTATATTAATGACACTTTGTTATAGGCCATTTGAGAGAAATATTTATCTTTTTAAAATTAATTAATTTTTTTTTCTGATACATTTCTCTCCACCTTTTCCCCAGAACATTTCCCTGTTCCCCTCTTCCCTCTCCCTCCCCCAATGCTTCCCCTCTTTGGCTTTGTCGATGAGTCCTTGCTGTATGTTCCTTGACTTGCTCCTTCCCTTCCTTTTCCATTGCCCACGTCTCCCCCCTTCCCTCTTTGTTGGTTTCTTTTTTTCTTTCAGTGCTGTTGGTTTCTTATTTTCCTTATTTTTCTTGTTTTGTTGGGTAGGTTCTGCTTGCAGGAGAGGTCATATGGTATTTGTCTTTGGCCCCAGGGCTTATTTGGCTTAGTATAATTTTCTCTAGTTCCATCCATGCTATCATGAAGTGTAGTTGTTCTTTTTTTCTTTCTGCTGCGTAGTATTCCATTGTCTAAATATACCATTGTTTTTTGATCCAACCTTCTACTGATGGGCATTTAGGTTGCTTCCAGCACTTGGCTATTGTCAATTGTGCCGCGATGAACATTGGGGTGCATAGGGTGCTTTGGAATTGGTGGTTTGGAATTTTTAGGGTATAGTCCCAGCAGTGGAATCAGTGTCTCAAAAGGCAGTTCCATTTTTAGCTTTCTGAGGAAATTCCACACTGCTTTCCACAATGGCTACAGCAGTCTGCATTCCCACCAACGGTGTACTACTGTTCCCTTTTCTCCACAGCTTTCATAATCTTTGTTCACATTCTGGCCATTGTGCAGTATAATCAACATATAAGAATAGTGTTTTTCCCCTGGAAATTTTATAGAGAAGAACCCCAGATACATATGTATGCGTGTGTGTGTACAGATACTGATATATGTTTGTATATCCACACATATGCCTTCCAGTGTATATGATAATTAAATTTGGAGCTTTTACATTTTTGTGTGCTCTGATTTAAAGAGACAGATTTTTATTTCATACATTCATCCATACACTCATTCAAATGTATAGTAATATTTTTAAGCAATTACACTTGTCCCCCTTTCCCGCATTCGCTCACCTTTGCCCATCCTCCACCCCTTTCCCTGGGTCTGTCACCACAGTGTTGTTTGCGTCACTGCATCCGGCACACAGGTTCCCTTGCTACACCCTTCCCCTTCTCTGACTCCTTTCTCTCTCTCCCTCTGCCCTCTGGCAGTTGTCAATCTGTCCATGTGTCCGTTCCTTTGTTTTTATTTAATTCATCAGTTTATGCTGTTCATTTGGTTTCCCCTATGAGTGAGAGCATATGGTATTGGCCTCTGGTCACTGGGTTCTTTTGCTTAACATCGTATTCTCCAGGTGTATCCATGGCTCAAAAAAGGGTGGAAGTGTTCTGAATTTTTCTTTACTGCCGAGTAGTATTTCATGGTATAAATGCACCACAGTTTTTTTTCCCTCCCTTTTATTCATGTGCTCTTGAGCTGTTTCCAAGATCTTCATTTTGTAAGTAACACTGCGATGAATGTAAGGGTGACTATCTCCTTCTGAAGTTAGAGAAAATGGAAATTCAATGCGGATAACATTCTGAGTCCTCCATGACGTGCGTAGATTAAGTTCAATAGTTAATGTGTGTGAATGTTACATGTTGCTGTTCCTTGCAAACATTGACTGAGTTGCTAAGGGTGGTCTGTACATATTTTTTAAACAAAGCAAAGAACTGCCGGTATCAATAGCATGAAAATTGGTATATGCAATTTGAGAACAATGTCTTTTACCTTTTATCTCTTATAATCTTTGTTCACATTCTGGCCATTGTGCAGTATAATCAACATACTAGAAAAGTATTCTGCTGAAAAGACATATTATGTGTAAGAACCCCATATATATATATATATATATATATATATATATATGAATGTGTTTGTCCATATTGATAGGCCTTCCCATCCATATAATAATTATAAATGAGAGCTTTGACATTCTTTTCTGTGTGTTTGATTTCAGGTAAAAAAATTAGTTTAATTCTTTATTATTATTTTTAATATTTTATATTTCTTTTCCTTTTCTATCACTGTCGTCAGAATTCTCCCAACAGTCAATTCCCGCTCTTTTGTCCATGTCCATGGTGCTATCATACATGTTCTTCGGATAGTCCCTTCTTTGTGTCCAGCATTGTCCTCGTTCTCCAGCCTCTCTTGTTATTTTCAGTCAGATCCATGTTGTCACACCTGTGGCCTATTTTGTTGGTTTGGTTATTTTTTGAATATGTTCCACTTACAGGTCTGATCTGATGGTATTTGTCTTTTACCCACTGGCTTATTTCACTTTACATTGATATTGTCCTCGTCCATACGTGTTGTTGCAAAAGCCATGGGTTTCTTATTATTTTCTTTAAAATGCAGATTGAGTTCATTTTGTAATTTTGAAGTGTCAAATTGCATTGTTAAATATTGAAAAATTTAAATCCATTTTAAAGTCTCAGCACAGGAAAACCACCTGACACTAGCAGAGAAAAAATCAGGTAGATGAATAAAATAAAAGGAGCATTCTGGAAACAAAGGTACCTATCTGTCTAAAAATGCAATGTGTGACAAAACTGATACTTCAGATCATTTGGGAAAATAAAACCTATTCAGCAATTATAGGGCATGACCACTATTACTTGAAATGAAACAAATAGACAGCCCTAACTCACATGTTATACACATTATTCAGTTTAGTCAAAAGTCAATATGAAAATGAGAAGTTAGGTAAAAATGAAAAATAACACTTTTCTTACCATGAAGAGAAGTATTTAAACTCAGAAGCTATAAAGTGAAATGTTAACACTACGA